ATAATATATATATATATATATATTATATATATCTATATATCAAGGTTGTAGAAATCGCTCGACGGTAGCTCGTCGGTAGACTGGGGTCAATGGATTAATCGGGGACCATTAATTATTAAAACTATTATTAAAAAATTAATAAATATAACATTAATCCTAAGAATTAATAAAAATTATCACATAATTAAACTAAGAATCCAGTTTTTTGTTTGTGAATATAAACACTATTATAACTAATTCCATGAGGCCCTTTAAATATAAAATGATCTGGGAAATATGGTTTCTTAAAAAAATTAAAACAAAAAATTGAAGATTGCAAAGATTTCTAGTTAAAAATATTGGACTTGGATGTAATGATTCTTGTAAACCCACCAATCTTCCAACACAATGGAGAATTATAATAAAACTACCTCAAGGGCAAATTGGTCAAGAGACAAACAAAGAGAACTAGACCATTAACCAACAACCTGAAAGTTACAAAATGAATTTTAAGCATGTAATTTAACATTTCAGCACATCAAAAGAGATCAATAATTGCAAATGGTTAATTGCAGGTAAAATACACCAGGCTCCATGAGTTAGCAGTGATGATAACAGGTCCTTCATAGTCAAAAAAATACAATTCATAATTCCAAAACAAATTTGAGCCCTGCACAACAGCACCTTCATATCTGATCACATTTGCATTTGATCACATTTATATCTGATCACATTTGTAAGCCCCTGCCAGTAGAAGTCGCATTATATCACAATTTTTAAAAAGTAAACATATGAATGCAAGATATGAGAATAAATCAATAATAATATCCCTAGATGATTGATAAGACAAATAATAGATGAACATAACATTCCACCCATCCAGAGCCCTGCACAGCAACACCTTCGACATTCATCTTGATCACTCATTCGTATTTGATCACCTTCAGCACAACAACACAGCAGCACTTTCTTCGAATCGACCTCATCTTGAAACAATCACATTCAATTTTGATCACTCATTCGTATCTGATCACCAATTCCGACTTGAAATCATTCAATTTTGACTTTCACTGCTTTGACCATTGAATTGAATTACCGACGACCAGCAAAAACAATTTTCTGAAATCGATTTTCAGATCAAACAAATTGATTCAACAATAATCATCATATTCAACCATCTGTTATGTGAACTAAGAAGAAGCGAAGAAGTAAAGAAGAAAATAGGAGTTAAACCACCTGGTTCAGGTTCTTCACCCTCGATTCGACCTCATCTTTCTTCACCCTCGATTCGACCTAATCTCCTTCTCACCAATTATTTCCAGATTACCCGATTATTGATTGTTGATTGGGTTCGGTACTTTCCGTATGACGGTGCTCAGTTTGATGTCGTTTCTTTGATGGTGTGGCAGAAGATGATGGAAGAAGACTAACGACAGCAGGGGAGGAGTCGGAGTCGAGCAGGCGAGGAGTTGGACCATCAAGAAAATTGGGGAAGAATAAGATGCACAAAACATATATGGAAGAGTAAAATTTGATCATCCCACATCGAAGCTGGGAACATTCTATCAAGGAAAAACACTCTATAAAAGGGAATCCTCCCTAAGAGAACAAATGCACTTATGTTTTAGGCAAACCGGCTCCTTTGAGCCGGTGGGTCCTTTAGAGTCAGTTGGACCGATTATGTCCGAGTTAGACCAATTTGGTCTGAGTTGGGCCGGTTTTGACCGATAGGCCGCCTAGTTTAACCCTCTAACACCTATTCGTAGGCGGTTGGAGGCCGCCAAGCGCCTAGGCGCCGATTAATCGGCTGTCTAGACCGATTTTTACAACCATGATATATATATATATATATATACATACATACATACATATTAGATGTGTGCCCGTCCAAAGCGGCAGTAAAAAACAACTCTTTTTTTGGCGAATAATTTTTTTACAATGAAATAATTATTAAATTGTATTATTAGTTATTATGTATAAAAAAATTATAATTTTTAAATAAAATATTTATGTTTAGACCTTATATTTATATTGTCTGTGTATATATATATTTGATGTAAATTAATTAACATCAATGTCTAGTTTAAGATATGTAAATTAATTTATCTACATGAATTTAATAACCTTCCTTAATTAAAGGCTTTAAACTTTTGACTAGTATTAAAGATTAGTTTATCTATAATTGATTTGTACATAAAGCTTTGTAACTTATAGCTTTTAAAATTTAAGATATGATTAATATGTTTTTATAATATATATATATATATATATATATATATATATATATATATATATATATATATATATAAAAGGTTAAACTTCTAGCCCAATAATGGAGTTAAATAAAAAAATTAGAAAGGTAAAAGGCCAAAATTTATAATTACGGAGATTAGATGTGACTAAGACTTAACTTAGCTAATTAGACTTTTACCTAAATTATTAATATATTGACATTCTAGGGTTAAAGTTACGGTTACTGAGTTGGAAATATTAATTCAGTGTCTTTGAGCAAACTATAATATTAAGAAGTTAAGGGATCAAACTTGCAAAATATTGAAAAATGAGATCTTCATCCCCAACTCCTTTTCTATCTCTATATTTTGAATGTATGGACTCTATAATTTTTCGAAAGAAATTTCGATTTGGAAGGTAAAATTGAACCTTTAGTTGAATTGTTGCACCAAATCATCAATGAAAATTTTGAGTCAACTTGAGTTGATTACCATCGAAATATTTAGATCTTAAAGTAGTTAGGCAAATAAGGTTCAATTATATTTTAGAGGTAGATTTATCAATCCAAATTGTAAAACATAACTAAAAAGTAAATCAATTAGTCGTATCTTGAATTTTAAAGTTTTCATTAGAAATGATGATGATCATCCTTTATCTGACGGATTAGTGATGTTAATCATGTTGTATATATGTGGTTGAATAATGTTTTAAACTCTAATTAATCATTCTAATTCATTAGAATTGGAGTTGGATAGCCTAAGTCCAATTAAGTAAGCTATAATTGTTATTTTTGGAGTTTTTGCTAGAAATGATAGGTTTGATATGAAACACATGGGGTGTGTAAATTCTTTGCTATTTCCCACAAGCCTTGTAAAAACATGAGAGTTTTCATCAAATTTTACTTGACCTTGGAGCTTTGAAGGATATTTTAATTGCTCCAAATGCTTCCACTGATTCATGTATTGAGTCCTTAAGAATCGATATGAGTCTATTGAGTTTATTAAGGTTAATTAGTTAATTAATGGTTGATTATTTTTAATGATTTAATCTTGTAAAATGTAGGTGATCTTGAAGTTCCTTACAACTGGCTAAGCTAGATAGATGATTATCTACACATTTAGGTGAATTCGTTACCCACGAACATGTCCCCTGATATATTGAACTTTGATAATTCATTCCATTGAATTACCATGGGCATACATTATATGAAATATTATATGTAATATATGTCATTCCAGAAATGACATATGTAATACATTATATGGAATACTATATGTAATATATATCATTTATGAAATTTTAAAATAAGGATAAAATTTCTATGTTTTTAATTAATTTTTGATCTTAATCATGTGTATCAGCTTGATGACTTTGAGACTTGTGTTGGTACTTGAGACTTGGATACCTAATTTAAGACTTTTAGACTTGATTGCGATTGAATTCTGGAAGGCCTCATGTGCATGTGAGATTTGTTACCCCTCATATGGTACATGTATGATGGTTTGCATGTAACATAGTGAGTCGAGTTTGAGAGTGTTTAGTGTGATATGTGCTAACTTTACATAGGCTCCAAAATCATCATTTGTAAGACATTTGGACTTTGAGACTGACTTGTGATTTTCAAATTAGAAACATGATGCATGACATCATTTGAAATCAATGATTTGATGCTAATGAGATTTGTTATTGTTTTAGTCAAGGTTCTAAATAACGTTACGAGTGCATTTGGCGGCAATGTTAAGTCTCAAGCTTTTACGAGCCGTGACAAGCCACATCATTTGTAAGACATGATTTAAGTCGGCAATTTTGTGTGTGTGTGTGATATATATATATATATATATATATATATATATATATATATATATATATTATGTTTTTATTCATTTTTATATACATATATGACTGAAAACGACATTTTGTTAAAGTTCGGCTGCAAGTACAAGCTTTGGTGTCATGATGAACATTTTAGAACCGAAGTTTTAATGAGTGTATTTAGCTTTGGAATGCTTCTTTTCCTAACTAAAGAATACTTGCTATTCTTTTAAGTTTTGAAAATATATTTTTAGAGATTTTCAATGGTGTTTTGAATATGCAAGATTCCATACACTTACCTAACTAACATATATATTCAGGAATTCGGGTTTTTACGCAACAACGCACCATCGTCTTAACCGGTTTGACCCATTGTTATATGGATTCGACTGACACATCACACAAGTCTCACAAATATAGCGGGTGTGATGCGTTTATTTGGGTTGGTTTTGGATTGTTTAGAGGTGAGTTTTTAAGAATATTTTTAGCCAAATTTGGTTATTAGTTTTTATTTATTTATTTCCTTTTATTATCATACACTTATCAAATATATTTTCTTCGCATTTATATTTGTCCAAGTAACAACTAACAAATATATAATTCCAAGATTGGACATAATACAAAAGTCTCCCCTCTTTTTCAATAAATGATGTCATGTGTATGTGCTCGTCGTTTCCACTGCCACAACCAACTTGTGAACTCAAACACTGTTTCTGTCTAACAAATAGATGAAAGGATTCAGATGAAATATCTGTTGAGGTGAAGTTACAATGGACTTATTTGGCAGATGCAATTAACCAAAATGACAAAAAATGAAATAAACAATGTAAACGACAAAAAGAAAGAGAATGTGTGTGATCTCAATTCTCAAAAATCGTAAAGAAACTCTATTTATTAATTTAATTAAATTTAATTTATCATACTCTACTTCTGTGTAGGCAATTATGAAAAGGCGCGCCGATTGGATAGTAGACAAAAAGACGAAACTGCCCATTTTGTTTATGTCTTCTTTCAAGTCCTACAGATTCTCAGACACCGGTTTTTAGAGACGGTTTCAAAGATTAAAATGTCGAAATCTTCACCGGCGACCAAAAAGGCGAAGGAGGTGTCGCCGGAAACAATTAAGCCCGACGAATACTCCCATAGCCCCGTCCACTATGCTGTTGCAGTAGGCGATCATACAACCCTCTCACGTATTGTAGCCTCTTTACCCCGGCTAGCCGACCCGACGAAGATTCACTCGGAGTCAGACTCCTTAAACCAAGAGAGGCTTTCCGACCAAATAGCCGCCGTACTCGATCGGCGTGACAATCCGAAGAGGGAGACTCCGCTACACATCGCCGTCAGGACAAATGACGCGTTCGCTGCACGTGCACTTGCCAACGCCGGTGCTGATGTGTCTCTACAGAACGCAGACGGATGGAATGCGTTGCAGGAGGCTGTGTGTCGCCGGTGTACGGACATTGTTGCGATTCTTGTCCAATACCACCACGTCTCTGCCTGGTCGAAGTGGCGCCGTCGTCTTCCCCGACTCCTCGCCGTCCTCCGCCGTATGCGTGATTTCTATATGGAGATCTCGTTTCACTTCGAGAGCTCTATTGTTCCATTCGTCGGGAAGATTGCGCCGTCAGACACCTACAAGATCTGGAAACGAGACGGTAATTTACGAGCAGATACTTCGCTTGCTGGCTATGACGGCTTGAAAATTCAACGAGCGAATCAGAGTTTTCTCTTCCTTGGCGATGGTGATCGGAATTTAGACATTCCGTCTGGTTCGTTGCTTGTTCTCAATCACGACGACCGTAAAATCTTCGACGCCTTCGAAAATGCCGGATCTCCATTAAGTGATTCCGACATCGCCGGATTCTGTGCTCAGACGAGCGTTTACCGTCCAGGAATGGACGTAACGAAAGCGGAATTGTGTGCCAGAACTAATTGGAGGAGGCAAGAAAAGATCGAAAGTGTCGGCGAGTGGAAAGCCAGGGTTTACGAAATCCACAACGTACATTTCAGTTTCAGATCACGCAAAATTGCCGCTGGTGATAGCGACATAGCCGGAAGCGAACAGATCATGCCACTAGAGCTTGAAGAAGACTCCGATGACGGATTTCTCGTCGCCGAAAATCCACGTTTCAGCGTCTCCGATCGCCGGAGACACAGTAGCTTCGTGAGCGGAGATAGAGAAGTGATATCCGTGTCAAGAAAAAGCGTCGACATCATTCCAGAACGACGTCGTCGTCCACGAGCACCTCCTCCGCCTCCGATGCCGCCGTTACCGGTTGTACAACCACAGACAAAAGAGAAGGAGTACGTTAAAACGTTACGGCCGTCAGTTTGGTTAACGGAAACGTTTCCGTTACAAACGGAAGAGCTGCTTCCGTTACTTGACATTTTAGCTAACAAAGTAAAAGCTGTTAGACGGATGAGGGAATTGCTGACGACGAAGTTTCCACAAGGCACGTTTCCGGTAAAGGTAAGGGCTAAATTCGTCATTTTACTTTCCAAAGATAAAAAACAGATCTTAAGGGGACATAGGGGCCTTGATGGATTTAGCTTCTCTTTTGGATTTAAGCACTTTTGATACTATTTCATTTTATAGTAATTAAAATTAAACACTTTTGATACTATTATAAAACAAAAAACTACATTTACATGGGACCCACTATAAGCTGATATCATCTGAAAACATATATAGCCATGCGTGATCCAATAGTTCTCATCAATATCTATGCATCAAAATTCTTGAAATAAAATATTGTTTTTCATTTATGAACTTTTAATATTTTTTTTATCTTAACAATTTCATAAAAAAACAATTTTTTAAATAGCAATTATCATCAAGAATGTACCATTTTTATACTTTTGAAATTGAAAGATAAAGATGGATTTTTTTAATTCAATTTATTATGAAGATTTTTTTCCGTTGGAAGAATTAATGAAATATATGTACTTGTTTTCATTTTATTGGTTTTGATGCATCAGATCATGGATTAGAATAATCTAGATGGGTCCCACAAAATCAGAATATTTAAATATGAATACTTTATTATAAAATATAATATTAACTAAAAAAGTAAATTCACCAACAAAATCTCAAACTAGCTACTCTAACTAGATACTTAAACGCAAAATAAAGTAAAATAAGGTTAAACTTAATAATATAACATAATATTCATTGATTTCTTTATATTGTAGTATACTATTTTGATTTTTATTCTTATTATTATACTATTATATTTTGAAAAATCTATTAATTATAGAAATATGTGTAAGGACATAAAATAAGAAAGTACTTTCATATATTTTTGTATTATAGCATCTTATTTTCTTTTTCTTTTTATTGCAATATTATGGATTTGTTTTATTGAAAGCATATCATTATTTGAAAAAATCTATCCAATTATAGTGTTATGTTTTCAATTTGTTTTCTTAAATGACATTTTTTATAAATAAATTGGTTCATTGAAATACAATAATTCTCAATATTATGATTGGGTATATTTTTATAAATATAATGTTTTAATAATAAGAAAAATAATATTAAAACAGTCTAAATTTTCAAAGTATTATTACTTAAATAACTTAAAAGTAAAACGTCTTGTTTTTCTTATTCTTTGATTTACTAGGAATCAACACTAAGCATCTTCCTTTACTCCTAGTAATATCGATTTCAACGTCTTTCCCAAAAAAGAACTAGATAAATAGGACCAAAATAAGAGTACTTTTAGTGGGCCCTTATTCATGAATTCATATGTCCCAAAGACATGTTTAAAGCTATTTCACCATCAACTCACTTTCCCTTTTTTGATCCTACAAACATATAGTACTACATTGACCAACTTTTGATTCTCACTTTTATTTCAATTGATTTGATGGTTGTAAATTTTCCGATATGAAGGTGGCGATTCCCGTGGTGCCAACCGTACGTGTTTTAATAACGTTTACAAAGTTTGTCGACCTGCAACCACCAGAAGAACAGTTCTTCACACCGTTCTCCAGTCCCCGCCACTTTATCAGTAGTGGAGATGAGAACGATGATTATGAGGTAACAGTAACAGAAACAGAAACAGAAACAGAAGCCCTTCGGGCTTCTGTTTCTGTTTCCTCTTCTGCAACGTGGTTGTCGAGGGGCGGCAGTCGGTCGGGGATGTTGACGAATAGGGTGGGACCGCCACATGTGGCGGATCCGTTTAGTGTACCGATTGGGTACGCGTGGAGTAGTTTTGATGAGAAAGGGAAGAAAATGAAGAAATCGAAGTCTATGAGTAGGAAAAGTAAGTGAATGTAAAATGTAACAATAATTGTATCGAGTTTGGTTGAATTAGTTTGTAATGGCTTTTATGGAATATAGTTGTTGGGGACTTAACGCTATTAGCTAGCTATAAGCCTAGAACCCCACGTTGCATCTTCTTTTGTGTAATAACTATAGTATCTATAAGATTAGCGTAGTTAAAAGGGGAATTTAATAGTTTTGTTGGGAAATGATAATGTTATATTAACGAATTAAAAAAAAAATTCAAATAAGGTTTAATATATGCATCTAACAAATAAGTTTGAATATATGCGCATCTAATCAATGTATTCTAAATGCAAATATAGTGGTTATGATATAGAAGTGATTTTTAAACACATACATCATATTTCTATGCCAACGTATCAGATGTTTTTCATTGAGGTTAAGAGTTTCCTGTCGTAGACATATGTGGAATTAAAGAACAGAGTAGATTTACCGTTTAAAATAAATGTAGAATATAGATCCTCTGACAACAGTAAAGAAATCGAAAGTAGAAATACATTGGTAATATATTTTTTTACAAGACGTTCTTTGGTGAAAAACACCAAATTTTCCGGCGTAAAGAGTAGGTCTTCACTCTTAAATTTTACCCACGACAAGACCATTGCCCAAGATCCATTTCTTTTATTAGGCATTGTTTCTCTTTCTTCAAAATAATATCGTTTCGAGTATGTCAAAAGTTGCCATCAAGATAGAATGTATGACCATCGTTGCAGTTTTTTTATATTTTTGAAAATCCTTCTCCATGGAAAAGAGAGCAATTGGCGATTTGTAATTGGAAAACCACACAAACATAGATTCAAACTCCACACACTACTCGCAAAAGGGCATTCCATGAACAAATGTTTTTTAGAATCTTCTCCACTTTGACATAGGTTACACATGGATTGAACAAAGGAAATTCCTCGAGAGATAAGGTTGACCACAATGTGGATTCTGTATGTCTGAAAGTATTTTTGTTATAACTTTATAGATGCACCCAAGAATGTATCTCCCTTGGATGTAGGATGTATGCAACTGGACAATGCTTATTTTCGACCCAATCACTTTCTTTAGTCTGTTTGTAAGAATTTTTGTTATAACTTTATAGTTTATAGATGAGGTAAATAGCACAAAAGACACTCAGTTTACACAGAAATTCGAATTTGACACCGTGTTTTTTTTGTGTCAATTTTGACATTGTGTTATTGTTT